CCCCCCCCCCCCCCGGTTCATAACTAGGGGTCTGACTTAAGTCGGACTGACGTAACCCGGGGACTGCCTGTACCTTCAACCCCCCGTGTGCTGCCCATACCATGCCTGTTTGGTGAATAGTGATGTTTTAAATCTCTAGAGCAGTCAGCCTTCTTTCATGAGCACTAGCTTGACTTTAAGTACTTGTTCTCTTTTAAAAGCACTTCACAATGGCATCCAGAAACCAACAACAGAGTCAAGAGGAACATAAAATATTAAAGAGATGTATAAAAGCAACAGTGAAACAATCAGGAGGACAGAGCCAAGCAGAGTTAATTAAATGAATTGGAAACATTTTAATAAAACTATCTTGAAGTAATATTACCCCACCTGGGCTTCTACATAGTGGAGGAGCTGGTACATAATCACCTCCTTAGGTTTGATAAGGTGCTAAATAGCTAGATGAAACAAGGGGAAGAAGTGAGTCTAGCATACACATAACAAAGAAGTATTCTGGGTCAAAAGAGAATATGAGAACCACCACAAAAGGAGGGCAAGCAAAGTATCAGAGGCTATAAAGCAAAGTAGTATTCTTAGGGGAGAACAGAGCAGCTCTGGAACAAATGCAGTCGAGCAACTCAGTTTATCATAACTTTACAATGTGTGGCCCATGGTTAACTTAAGCCTCTCCTATGCTACAGTGACTATTGTTCTCCCGCAACTGGAGAACATCACAGTGCCATCCTGAATCACTGACCCTTTCTAAACAGATATGCATTTGTAGGTCATACCTGAAAAGGAGCAGGAGACTCGATTATTATTATTTTGCTTTGACCACCACCTGCATAGATACCAATGCACTGTACTGTTCCACAACTAACCCTCTCCAGTCTTCTTTTCACATTGTGCCAGGAGAGATTAAACCACTTTTAGCTCCCAGAAGGTGCAAGACAACAGACCAATGATTAGGGATGTAAATGTATAATGGTTTGAACAGTTAAGCTTGGGCTTATTGGTTACCATCCAGGGTTATACCCAGGCTCCCACCCCACTCCTGGGGAGCCAGCTGTCACCCTGTATCAGGAGCCAAAGAGCCGGCTGCTGCCCCACACTGCAGGTGTGTGTAACCACTGAAAATCTCAGTGATTACACAATAATCTGTTTTTAACACTCCTACTAGTGATGGGCTTTTAATTTAATAGCCTCTATTTGGATATTCTTAATAGCTTAATCCATGGTCAGAGTCTTTAGCTAATCCTATCCAATCTAAGAATACCCAAGAGATTAAACAGGTAAAAGTTGAAAACTCCCACAAAATGTCAGAAGAGCTATGCAAACAGATTTCCTCCAGTGACCTGAATTTCTGTGAGAAGCAGATGGAAAGTCTGAACATAGTAAGTGAAAGATAAATGATACTGTAGTTTTTGCTCACTAGGAGCTGGCCTGATTTTAAGAGGGTTTGAATGCTTGTAGCTCCCATTCGTTTCAATTGAATTTGTGAGTATTTGGCATATCTGGAACAGGGGAGGGGCAGGGTTTCACTTCTCTCTCTTATTTGTACATAGCTCAACTCTTGTTTTATAGTCCTCGGTATACTTCTGAACTTCTTTGTATATCTGACAGGTATACTGGCCTATGTCTCTCCCATTTTTGCTCACTAACAGACTTGGGAATTGTTCCCTTTCCCTCTTTAGAAGTTACTTCTGATTTTCACTACAGAATAGGAAAGGAAAACAAGTTCAACCAACAAGCAAAATGTGTATGTGCAATCAAATTCATCAGCCACTATTAATCTCTTAGCATTATTAAGGTCAAACTGGGGGGGAGGTTAGGACACAGTCTGAATTATGAACAATTCAAGGGAAAATACCATTTTATTAATATCTAATGTCAAAATAAGATAAACTAGTTAATCAGAAACCAAACATTGCTACCCAGCAAGGAGCATGCAAAGACATTTCTGCTCATTTCCACTTAAATATAATGTTCCTTCAATATATCATAACACAAAATACGGTAAAGGAAAGTAAAAGTAATAGCATTTACTATAGAGCCATCCTAGGGAGCAAGAGACTTCCACAGCAGAAGCAGCTAGCAACAGTAGCCAAGCTGACATACACTTCTGGGTGATAGTGATGTTATCAGACAAAGTTAGCAGATTAACACTGAACTCTGTTTTCGATAGGTTGTTTGCCCTGACCATATCCCACTCCTTCACTGTCCTTCCCACTCCTTTTCTTGTTGAATGCCCGGCTATCCCCCTCTTCTGCTCCTACTAACTCCTCCCCTACTGCTTCTCCCCCTTGCTCCACCCTGGCATCCACAGTAATTTTTTAAAAAAGACTTGCAAGCCACAGGATTAGTTCTCCCTTATTAATATAATTTTTAGCTTCACAGCAACTTCAGAGAGGCAACAATGCAAGAGGACTAGAAGCAGAAAAGTGATCCCCAACAGCAGTAACCACCTCTCTCCTTTCAACAGCTTCTGATAAAATATGAACTAATTTCTAATGTTACATTGCTACCCATTTTAAGGACACTACATTGTTTTCAAGTGCTTTCCATGAAGAGGAAGGACACTAGCATTCTAGGTTGGAGGCATTGATTAGATTTTGCCAAACAAGAAGAATAGGTTTAGGTAAAAATGTCCCCACTAGTTTTATTTTAAAAAGTCAAGATTTTTTTTTTAAATTAACAAAACATTTTTAATATTGCAGCATCCAGAACTCACAATACCTTAATGCAGCTGTGGGGAACCTTTTTTGGTCAAGGGCTGCTGACCCCCCCAAAACATCAGTTGGGGGCTGCTCACAAGTGAGAAGCAAAAAATGAAAAAAGACCTCAAATCCTCAGCCCCTGACTGATGAAAGACCCTCCCCACATTCCCCTCACACACCAGAGTTTAGTGGGACCCAGGCTAGTAGATTTTGGGTGCTCCAGCCCCGCAAGGGAGAGGGTAGAGATGGAGATGGGAGCTCCAGCATGGGCTCCCCCATGCTGAGGATGGGACAGCCCTGGGCTTTGGGGGCCAAATCCAGGCAAGATGAGGGCCACATCCGGCCCCCGGGGTTTAAGTTCCCCATCCTTGCCCTAATGGATGCCATAGCAAGCACCAATTGCAAATGCCTGCAGTAACCACTAGGAAATCCCATGTGGGTGGGAATCACTTGTATAGAACAAGGGGACTAAATTCACCCCCTACACTAGGGATGTAATAGTGTAGTCAATTAACTGATAAGCAAAAGTTTATTCATTAATGCTATAGACTATACACATTTCCTCTACCTGCCCCTCCCCCCCAACCAGTAAATTTTTTAGCAGATTGGACAGCAGCCCAGCTCAGTCCCAGCTACCCCTGCTATGGCTCTGCATTTAAAGTATATTAGGAGGTAGGCAGCCCAGCTCACTTCTGGCTCATGCCTTTGTTTTATACAGGACTTTGTTTTATACAGGTGCCTATTACCCTCCCTTGCCATTTTCCACACTTGCAGTCTGGTCACTCCTGGGCACATCTGGCATCCTGCACAGCGTGCAGACAAGCGTCTCCTCCATCCCACCCAACAAGCACGGGAGCCGATAAAGTGGAAGACAACTGAGGCAGGAGACAAGAATGAACTTGGACATATCAGGACCCTTTATCTGGGCCTCTTACGCCCTAGAGGCCCCGTGCTATCATACTGCTTACCTATATGGAGAAACTTTTGCCTTGTCTGGATTTTGAAGCTCCTTCTCCATTTCATCTCTGTTGCAGTCCAGTTTTTCAGCCAAGAGGTCTATGCGGTTCACTCTGAACAGCAGCTCCTTCAAGAAAGACAGATCATCTTCTTTTATCAGTCCTCCCTTCTGGAGATTTAGGAAGAA